CCCCAAACCTAGCCCTAACACTAACTCTAACTCTCACCCTTTCTATATCCCTAGTTCTAACCCTATCCCTTACTGGAACCCTAATCCTAACTCTAAACCCAGCCCTAACCTTAGCTATATCATTAGCTCTAGCCTAACCTACATCTAAGTTTAACTCTAAATCAAACCCTAACCCTAACCTTAAATCTAAATCTAACTTTAACCATAGCCCTAAAACAAAACTGAGTCATAGCACTAACCCTAACCCTTAACCTAAACCAACCCTTAACCCTAACCCTAACCTTAGCTCTAATTCTGGTTTAAGCTGAAAACTAAAACTAACACTGACCCTGACTATGACCATAATACTAACCCTAGTTGAAACATCACCCTAACCCTAAACCTAACACCAGACCTACCACTAACTCTAACACTAATTTTAACCATAATTGTAACCCTGGTACATACATTAGCCTTACTGCTAACACTAGCACTAACTTAACCCAAAACCTAGCCCTAACTTGAGCTTTAACCGTAACCTTAATCCTATCCCTAGCCATATCAAAACCATAACCCTAGCCCTAACCCTATCTCTAACTCTATCCATTGCCATAAATATAACTCTATACCCAAACCTAACCCTATCTCTAATCCTAAACCTATGCATTATTCTAAACCAAACCTAAACCATAAACCTCATCCTATCATTACACTACCACTAACCATAATGATAATTTTATCCCCAACTTTAAGCTTTAACCTATCTCAAACACCTAACCCAGAATTTGACTCTAATAGTACCCCTAGCTCTAAACCTGACTCTAACCCTTAACCTAACCCTTACATTACATGTAGACATAAACCTAACCCTAAAACTATCTTTAACCAAAACCCTATATCTGATATTAGCCATAGCCCTAATCCTAGCCCCAAACCTATCCTCAATCATTACCCTAACCCAACCCATAGCCCTAACCTTAATTCTAACCTTCACCTTATCTCTAAACCTAGCTATAATGCCATTCCTTACCCTAAACTTAACCCTAACCCTAACACTAGGCCTAAGGTGAACATTAACCCTAGCCCTAATCCTAGCCCTAATTTAACCATATCCCTAACCCTAACCCTAGCCCTAAGACTAACTCTGACTCTCACACTAGCTCTATCCCTACTTGTAGCATTATCCGTTACTGTAATCCTAAACCTAGCCCTAACCCTAGCCCTAAACCTAGCCATAACCATTGTCAAATCCTTATTCCTAGTCCTAACCCTAGATCTAACCCTAACTCTAAATCTAATCCTAACCCTAAGCCTAACATTAACACTAGCCCTAGCCATAACGCTAATCATAAAACTAGCCCTAACACTTACCCTTGCAGTAAAACAAAACCAAGCAATAGCCCCAGGGTGAGAGGGCTTGAGCTTCTACCTAGAGCCTCCCTACTCTTAGTCTCTGAATTGAAAACAGGTGCCTGTACATTTGCTGTTCCACATTGATAGCTACACCCCCAAAAGCTTGTGAGAAAAATCTTGATTTATCACAGCTGGATGTTGGAGAGTTGGAAACCGGGTACCTGATAAGCTGCAGAACCAAGCTGGTAGCCATGCCCACTGATTGGTGGCGAGTAAGGTTTTGCAAGAAGGATTCCATCTATTACCCATGTATGGTGTTTGGTGAGGTGGGTGGATCTGGAGTGACCTTGTGCTGTGTCCCGAGCTCAGTCTGGTGAACTGCAAGCAAAGCCTCTGTGTTCTGTGCTGCCTTCCATCTGTGCAGAGAGTGCCTGTGTGGCTGAGACTTCTGTCTACACCCAGAGAAACTGCGGAGCCCAGCCTTCCATCTGCACCGAGAGCACCCATGCGGCCCTAGTTTTCTTCAAATTTCTATGATACTGGGCAGGATTCATCTTTTACTTAGCCTTACTATGCTCCACAGGTTTGGGCCTTGTTGGTTCAATGGTTTGCTGTGAGGAACAGTTTGTATTTTAAGGTTTCCCTTCATTATGGCTTATTGATGTGAATGAAAATTGAGCTGGAAATCAAACAGAATTGGCAGGAGGTGCTTGAAACTTCACACAATCAGTTCTCAGTGGGCACTATCTGGTTTCTTTCTTTTGAAGGTAGGCCAAAGATGAAGCATGCAAAAGAAACTGTATCCGAGAGCCCTTAAGGAGAAAACAGAGAAACATGTATCTATTGAAATATGTCTCCAAACAATTTGATCAGATTTCTTTGATACTACACAGTATTCATCTTTTAGCTTGCTCCACTAGGCTCCCCAAGGTTGACACTTCTAGGATCAATGGTTCTCTAAACAGGTAAGGGTTAGTGTTATGGTTAGGGTTAGGGCTAGCTTTAGAGCTAGAGTCAGAGTTAGAGTTTGTTTTGTTCAAATTTCTTTGATACTGGGAAGATTTATCTTTTACCTAGCCTTACTATGTGCCCCAGTTTGGGGCCTTCTCGGCTCAATGGTTCGCTGTTGGGAATAGTTTGTTTTTAGTGTCTCACTTCATTTTGACCTATATGGGTAAATGAGAATGGAGCTGGAAATCAGAGGGTTGGTGCTAGCTGGTTGAAACTTCACATACTCAATCAGTTGTCTGTGGGCACTCTCTGGTTTCTTTCTTGTAAAAGTAGCCATAAGCTGAAGCATGCAAAACAAGTTTATCCAAGAGCATTTTAGGAGAAAACAGGGCAATATGCATGTTCTGAAATACTTCCCCCAATTATTTGGTCAGATTTCTTGGATACTGTGCAGGGTTCATATGTAAGCTTGCCCCAATAGGATCTCCAAGTTTAAAACTTTTATGATTGAAGGTTCTCTTAACAGGTTAGGCTTAGAATTATGGTTAGAGTTAGGGTTAGAACTAGTGTTAGGGTTAGAGTTAGTTTTTTTCAACTTATTTGATACTGGGAAGGATTTATCTTTTTCCTATTCTTAGTATGCTCCACAAGTTTGGGTATCCTAGTAAAAGGGTTTGATCTCAGGAGCAGCTTTAATTTTCATGTTTCACTTCATTTTGCCCTATAGGGGTGAATGGAAATGGAGCTGGACTCAAACAGGGTTTGTGCTAGCTGCTTGAAACTTCACACACTCAATCAGTTCTCAGTGCACATTCTCTCATTTGTTTCTTGTGGTAGTAGCCCAAAGCTGAATTAGACAGAAACAGCTTTATCTGTGAGCACTTTAGGAGAAGATTCAATTTTTTTTTTGCATGGATTACTTTGATATTGTACAGGATTCAGTATTTTCCTAGCCTTAGTAGGATCCTCAAGTTTGGGTTTTCAAAGTTTGCCACTTCACTGTCAGGAATAGTTTGAATTTTTGTGTTTCACATTATTATGGACTATAGATGTGAATGAAAATGAACTGGAAATAAAACAGAGTTAGTACTAGCTGTTTGAAACTTCACACACTCAATCAGCTCTTTGTGGGCACTCTCTGATTGTTCTTTTGAAAGTACCTTAAGCTGATCATGAAAAATAATTTATCCATGAGCACTTTAAAAAAAAAAAACAGGGAAATATGAATGTACTGAAATACCTCCCCCAATTTTTCATCAAATTTCTTTCATACTGCACAAGATTCATCTGTTAAGGTGTGGTACAAGGCTCCCCAAGTTTGGGACTTCTATGATCATAAGTACTCTAAACAGGTTAGAATTAGGTTAGGGTTGGGTTAGATCTAGTGTTAGAGTTTGAGTGAGTTTTGTTCAAATTCATTTGATACCTGGCATAATTTGTATTTTACCTAGCCTTACTATTTTCCCCAGGTTTGGGCCTTATCCCCTCATTGGTTTGCTGTCAGGAACAGTTTGTATTTCAAAGTTTCCTTCATTTTGACCTATAAGGGTAAATGGAAATAGAACTCCAAATCTAACAGGGTTTTTGCTCGCTACTGAAAATTTCACACAATCAGTTCTATGTGGGCACTCTGGTTTCTTTCTTGTGAAAGATTCCCAAAGCTGAAGCATGCAAAAACATCTTCATCTGAAAGTACTGTTGGAGACAACAGGGAAATATACATATACTGACTACCTCCCCAAATTATTTGGTCAGAGTTCTTTGATACTGCACAAGATTCATCTATTAGCTTGCCCCACTAGGCTCCTTTAATTTGGGACATCTATGATAAAAGGTTCTCTAAACAGATTAGGGTTAGGTTTATGGTTAGGGTAAGGGATAGGTTTAAACCAGTGTTAGGGTTAGAGTCAGTTTTGTTCATGGTTTGATACTGAGCAGGATTCATCTTTTATCTAGCCTCACAATGTTTCCTGGTTTGGGCATTCTCTGTTCAATGGTTCCCTGTCAGGAACAGTTTGTATTTTAAGGTTTCACTTTATTTTGAAGTATTTTGTTGAAGATAAATGGGGCACGAAATCAAACAGGGTTGGTGCTAGATGCTTGAAACTGCACACACTCAATTAGTTCTCTATGGGCACTGTCTGGTTTGTTCCTTGTGAATGTTGCCCTCAGCTGAAACATGCAAAACAACTTTATCCCAGAGCACTTTTGGAGAAATCAAGGAGATATGCATGTACTGAATCACTTCCCCCAATTATTTGCTCAGATTTCTTTGATACTGTGCAGGATTCATCTGTTAGCTTGCCCCATTAGGCTCCCTTAATTTGGGACTTTTTTAATCAAAGGTTCTCTAAACAGGCTAGGGTAAGTTGTAGGGTTAGGATTAAGGATAGATTTAGTGTTAGGTTTACAATAGTTTTGTTCGAATTTCTTTGATACTAGGCAGGATTTATCTTTTACCCATCCTTACTATGTTCCCCAGGTTTGGACCTTCTAAGTTCACTGGTTTGCTGTCAGTATTTCAGTTCTTATTTTAAGGTTTCACTTCATTTTGACCTATATGGGTAAATGGAAATGGAGCTGGAAATCAAACAGGTTTTTTTTTTTGCTAGCTGCTTGAAACTTCACACAATCAATCAGTTCTCTGTGAGGATGCTCTGGTTTTATCCTTGTGAAAGTTTCCCAAAGATGATGTATGCAAAAAAAACACTATGCATGCTCACTTTGGCAAAACATATATTAAAATTGGAATGATACATAGAAGATTAGCATGGCCCCTGCACAAGGATGACACGCAAATTCCTGAAGTGTTCCATATTATAGCAGAGCTTTTGCCTGCACCCGGGACAGGCCCAGCGGCCAGCCGGCGCGGTAGTCACATCACACCAATTGGAGTAGGGGCAGAGCAGAGCCGCCGCCCGTGCCTGCAAGGTAGGCAGACCTGCGACGGACCGGCAGAATAGGCCCTGGGGTCCACGGGCGTGGTAGACACGTCACACCAACTGGAGGAGGGGCAGAGCAGAGCCGCCACCCACGCATGCAAGGTAAGCAGACCTGCAACCGACCAGCAGATCAGGCCTCGTGGCCTGCTGGCGTGGTACACAAGTCACCCCAATTGGAGTAGGGGCAGAGCAGAGCCACCTCCCAGGCAAGGAATAAGCCCAGCGACCCACCAGCATTGTAGACACGTCACCCCAGTTTGAGTAAGGGCAGAGAAGAGCCACTGCCCATGCCTGCAAGGTAGGCAGACCTGTGACCGACCGGCAGAACAGGCCCAGGGGTCCGAGGGTGTGGTAGACACGTCACACCAATTGGAGGAGGGGCAGAGCAGAGCTGCCACCCATGCCTGCAAGGTAGGCAGACCGCCGCCCGATCCTGTAAGGGAGACTTTTCAACTATACAAGAGCAATATAAATATATAGGGGGGGATTTCAAAAACACAACATTTTCACCAAGCAGAAAGACATGCAAGCAGTATGAAAAGACAAGGAAAGAAAGGACCAAAAGCAATGCAGGTCAACTCAACTTTAGAAAAGGTAACAGCTGCAGCAGATGGAATGTCAGATAAAGAATTCAGGATATACATGCTTCAGATGATGTGGAGTCTCAAGGAAGACATTAGATAGCAAAATCCAACAATGAAAGATCACTTCGACAATGAATTACACAAACAAATACAGGAAGCAAAAGATCAACTATACAGGGAGATAGAGGTTATAAAAAACAAACAAACAGAAATCCTAGAAATGCAGGAATCAATAAACCAACTTAAAAACTCAATTGAGAATACTACCAGCAGAGTAGAACACTTTGAAGATAGAACATCACACCATGAAGACAAAGTATTTCAACTTGAAAAGAACATAGACAGCTCAGCAAGACTGTTAAGAAACCATGAGCAGAACATCCAAGAAATATGGGATAACATAAAGAGACCAAACCTAAGAGTCATTGGGATACAGGAAGGTATAGAGGTCCAAACCAAAGGAATGAGCAATCTATTCAATGAAATAATACGAGAAAACTTCCCAGACTTGAAGAATGAGACAGAATCCCAAATCCCAGAAGCCTACAGGATGCCAAATGTGCAAAATCATAAGAGATCCACACCTAGACACATTATAATGAAGATGCCCAACATAGAGAATAAGGAGAGAATTTTAAAAGCTACAAGAGAAAGGAAGATTACATTTAGGGGTAAGCCAATCAGGGTAACAGCTGATCTTTCAACACAGACTCTGAAAGCTAGAAGATCATGGAATAACATATTTCAAACACTGAAAGAAAATGGGTTCCAACCAAGAATTGTGTATCCAGCGAAATTAAGCTTCAGGATGGAAGATGAAATTAAAACCTTCCATGATAAACAAAAGTTAAAAGAATTTGCAGCTAGAAAACCATCTCTTCAAAACATCCTTGGCAAAATATTACAAGAAGAGGAAATGGAAAATAACAATGAAAACCAACAGTGGGAGGTAGGACAGTAAAGGGGGGGGATAATCAAAGAGGAAAACAAACCATGTTTAGTAACATAAATAAAAAAATATGGCTGGAAGAACAACCCATATCTCAATAATGACCCTAAATGTTAATGGCTTAAACTCACCAATTAAGAGACATAGGCTAGTAGAATGGATCACAAAACAAGACCCAACAATATGCTGCCTACAGCAGACGCATCTGATAGGAAAAGACATACATAGTCTGAAGGTGAAAGGTTGGAAAAAATCATATGACTCATATGGACTTCAGAAACAAGCAGGAGTGTCCATACTCATATCAAATAAAATAGATGTCAAGCCAAAGTTAATCAAAAGGGATAAAGAGGGACACTACATACTGCTCAATGCAACCATACACCAACAAGACATAACAATCATAAATATATATGCCCCCAAAAATGGTGCAGATATGTTCATCAAACAATCTCTTCTCAAGTTCAATAGTCTAATAGACCACCATACAATAATCATGGGAGACTTCGACACACCTCTCTCTCCACTGGACAGATCTTCCAAACAAAAGTTGAATAAGGAAACTATAGAACTCAATAACACAATTAATAACCTAGACTTAATTGACATATATAGAATATGCCACTCAACATCAAGCAGTTACACTTTTTTTCTCAGCAGCACATGGATCATTCTCAAAAATAGATCATATATTATGTCACAGGGCAACTCTTAGACAATATAAAGGAGTAGAGATAATACCATGCATCTTATCTGATCATAATGGAATGAAACTGAAAATCAACGATAAAAGAAGGAAGGAAAAATCATGCATCACTTGGAGAATGAACAATAGGTTACTGAATGATCAATGGGTTATCAATGGGTTATAGAAGACATCAAGGAGGAAATTAAAAATTCTTATTGATAAATGCAAACACAGACACAACATACCGGAATATATAGGACACATTGAAAGCAGTTCTAAGAGGAAAATTCATTGCTTGGAGTTCATTCCTTAAAAAAAGAAAAAACCAACAAATAAATGATCTCATACTTCATCTCAAAATCCTAGAAAAAGAAGAGCAAAACAACAGCAAAAGAAGTAGAAGCAAGAAATAATTAAAATCAGAGCTGAAATTAATGAAATCGAAACAAAAGAAACAATTGAAAAAATTGACAAAACTAAAAGTTGGTTCTTTGAAAAAATAAATAAAATCAACAGACCCTTAGCCATGCTAATGAAGAGAAGAAGAGATAGAACACAAATTACTAACATATGGGATGAAAAAGGCAATATCACAACAGACACTTCAGAAATACAGAAGATAATTAGAAATTATTTTGAATTCTTATACTCCAATAAAATAGAAGATAGTGAAGGCATCGATAAATTTCTTAAGTCATATGATCTGCCCAGATTGAGTCAGGAGGATATAGACAACCTAAACAGACCAATATCAATTGAGGAAATAGAAGAAACCATCAAAAGACTACCAACTAAGAAAAGCCCAGGACCGGATGGGTATACAGCAGAGTTTTACAAAACCTTTAAAGAGGAACTAACACTAATAATTTTCAAGCTACTTCAGGAAATAGAAAAAGAGGGAGAACTTCCAAATTCATTCTACGAGGCCAACATCACCCTGATTCATAAACCAGACAAAGACACTTCAAAGAAAGAAAACTACATACCAATATCTCTAATGAACCTAGATGCAAAAATCCTCAATAAAATTCTGGCGAATCGGATACAAAAACATATCAAAAAAATTGAGCACCATGATCAAGTAGGATTCATCCCTGGGATGCAAGGCTGGTTCAATACATGGAAATCAATAAATGTTACTCACCACATCAATAGATTTAAAAATAAGAACCATATGATCATCTTAATAGATGCGGAAAAAGCATTCGACAAAGTACAGCATCCCTTTATGTTCAAAACTCTAGAAAAACTAGGGATAACAGAAACATACCTCAATATTGTAAAAGCAATCTATGCTAAGCCTCAGGCTAGCATCATTCTGAATGGAGAAAAATTGAAGGCACTCCCTCTAAAATCTGGATCAAGAGAGGGATGCCCTCTCTCACCATTTCTGTTCAACATAGTTCTTGAAACACTGGCCAGAGCAATTAGACGAATGAAATTAAAGGCATAAAAATAGGAAAAGAAGAACTTAAATTATCACTATTTGCAGGTGACATGATTCTATACCTAGCAGAACCAAAAGGGTCTACAAAGAAACTATTAGAGCTAATAAATGAATTCAGCAAAGTGGCAGGATATAAAATCAACATGCATAAATCAAAGGCATTCCTGTATATCAGCAACAAATACTCTGAAATGGAAATGAGGACCACCACTCCATTCACAATATCCTCAAAAAAAAATAAAATACTTGGGAATCAACCTAAAAAAATAGGTGAAAGACTTATACAATGAAAACTACAGAACCCTAAAGAGAGAAATAGAAGAAGATCTTAAAAGATGGAAAAATATACCCTGTTCTTGGATAGGCAGAACTAACATTATCAAAATGGCGATATTACCAAAAGTTCTCTATAGGTTTAATGCAATGCCAGTCAAAATCCCAGTGGCATTTCTTGTAGAAATAGAGAAAGCAATCATGAAATACATATGGAAAAATAAAAGACCCAGAATATAAAAAACAATGCTAAGCTGGATGTGTGAATCAGGCGGTATAGCTATACCAGACTTCAAACTATACTACAGAGCAATGGTAACAAAAATAGCATGGTACTGGTACCAAAACAGGCAGGTGGACCAATGGTACAGAATAGAGGACACAGAAACCAATCCACAAAACTACAACTATCTTATATTTGATAAAGGGGCTAAAAGCATGCAATGGAAGAAGGATAGCATCTTCAACAAATGGTGATGGGAAAACTGGAAATCCATATGCAACAAAATGAAACTGAATCCCTTTCTCTCACCATGCAAAAAAGTTAATTCAAAATGGATCAAGGAGCTTGATATCAAATCAGAGACATGCCGTCTGATAGAAGAAAAAGTTGGCTACGATCTACATACTGTGGGGTCGGGCTCCAAATTCCTCAATAGGACACCCATAGCACAAAATTTAATAACAAGAATCAACAAACTGGACTTACTCAAACTAAAAAGTTTTTTCTCAGCAAAAGAAACAATAAGAGAGGTAAATAGGGATCCTACATCCTGGGAACAAATCTTTACTCCTCACACTTCAGATAGAGCCCTAATATCCAGAGTATACAAAGAACTCAAAAAATTAGACAATAAGATAACAAATAACCCAATCAACAAATGGGCCAAGGACCTGAACAGACACTTCTCAGAGGAGGACATACAATCAATCAACAAG